GATCGAAACATGTATACTGTGGATATAAAGGAGTAGTACAGAAGGCTGCTGTTTAAGAATCTTGAAATAAAAGCGAAAAGCCAATTCTTCATCTTCCTAATTTCACCAAACACTACCTTTGCCATTTCCCCCATACACTGGTCCTAAGTTGTTAGGTCTAGTGGGGTACCTCAATATATATATGTGTGTATATATATATATATGTATATATATATGCTTTGAGAAATTTAATTATTGAAAAATTGATAAATGGGTTCAGTTGGGCTTTTTTAAGCTTGTATAACCCATGAGGTAGAGGTATAAGTATTGATAGGACACAAAATCCACTGCAGAAATCTACTTGTTCTTTTTGCCAAACAGGCCCCAAGGCCCTGTACTCACATATATATATATATATATATGTATATGTGTGTGTGTGTATATATATGTATATGCCTTCACTTCAGCACATGCTTCCTTGTGGAATTTTTGTTTATAGTACAACTTAAACCAATCACACAGTCTCTATTATTATATATACATAATTGCATGATGTACACTTCTCACATTTTGAACATGTGATGTCCAATTGGGGAAGACTACTTCCTCAATATATATATATATATATTATACAATAAGATATAATTGATATTTTCTTTTTGGGTAAAATAATAATGTATTTTTAGTATTTTTTATTTTTATTTTTTTCATATTAATCAAAAATTTATAACCATCTTTTTTCTCTCGTTAATTTAAGTATTAGTTAAATATCATAATCGGAGAGAAATCGGGAGAAAACGGGCGATGTCTGTGACTGAAACTTGACAATAATTTTTTTAATGTCACGTTAGATATCGCGTAAAATTTAACGTCGAATTCAACTAATATTCGAAATAATTAAAAAAATATTTTTTTATATAAATAAATAATAAAAAGGTATTATTAGTTATAATATAATGACATGACCAACTTTAGATATATAGTTATATATAATTATACAAACTGATGCTGATTAAATCAACCATTCCCAGTTTCACATTCATGTGTCGATATATATGTATAGCATGGGAAAGGTAACGTGTGTGTGAGTACATAGATTTATAATAAGATATATACGTATATATTTTTGTATAATGTTACTTTAGTGAGCATCTCCCAAGTTTCAGAAACAACGGGAGGCTTCTTCTCCCATGCAGAGAGACTAAAGAAATGAAGACAAAAACTTCGAAGAACAAAAACTGTACTAAAGATGAGTGGCACTGGTCTCTTTGGACACATGTATGGTTGCCATGTGGGCGTACATGTCCCATAATTACATACACTTCATAACGTGTATATATATATATATATATACTTAATTACCACCTTAATTATAATTAATTTTCTTAATTATAAATCATTTAATTAATTAATTAATATTTAATAGTAGGGAAGGGAGGTGAGGTGGGTCAATCGAAGCCAGCCAGAACTGCACCGAATGGTAAGATTAAAGAGTCAGCAATCTCACGTGGAATTATGACCAGATGATCGCAGGAGATTCAACGTCGGTTACCACGTGTCAAATTCTCATTGGTTAGATTCAGTGCTGGACCAAACTCTCGTTCTCATAAATATGCACTTCAGTTCTTAGCTTCGTTTATAAGACTCCAGCCCTTTCTGCTCTTCACTCTTTCTTCTTCCTCCAGCTTGATTTTCGTCAAGGTTTAGATCTCAGATACAACAGCCATGGCGGAGAAGGTAATCTGTTTTCTTCTTACGTTTTATTAAATTTTCTTTTCTTGGGTGGTGGGTGATTTTTCTGGGTTCTTGTTTGTTTTTGAATATCATGATCTTATCTTTTTTACTTTCTCATGTCAGAATCTGAACCAGAAGATTCTTGACCTCTGCAGATTGTTTCTTTTATACCTATCTATGCTCTCTATCAACAGTGACATAACAGTATTAATCAATTATATACCTTTATATGACTGTATCTTTTCTGGGTTTTGAATCATATGTATCTATTATATTAATGGGGCAGGTGACAGTAATGGTGCTGAAGGTAGATTTGCAGTGCTACAAGTGCTGCAAGAAAGTCAAGAAAGTTCTCTGCAAATTTCCTCGTGAGTTTCTTCATCGTCTTCATGTTCTTCGTTGATATTTTGTATTAATGGAAATAGACTGAGTTGATGTTTTTATGAACGAGAGAAATAAGGGACCAGGTCTACGATGAGAAATCCAACACCGTGAGAATCACAGTCGTTTGTTGCAGTCCGGAGAAGATCAGAGACAAGCTTTGCTGCAAAGGAGGCGGAGCCATCAAGAGCATTGAGATTCTTCAACCGCCGGCAAAACCCAAAGAGCCGGAAAAGCCTAAACCTGCACCGGCACCGGCGCCGGAAAAACCTAAAGAAGCAGAGAAGCCCAAACCTCCGCAGGAGAAGCCAAAAGAGGCAGAGAAGCCAAAACCGGCGCCGCCTAAGGAGGCTGAGAAGCCAAAGCCGGTGCTGGTAAAGCCCAAAGAGGCGGAGAAGCCAAAACCGGCGCCGGAAAAACCGAAAGAGGCAGAGAAGCCTAAAGCTCCGCCAGCTGCTGATAAGCCAAAAGAGGCAGAGAAGCCTAAAGCTCCGCCAGCGGCAGAGAAGCCAAAGGAAAAGCCGCCGGAGCCCAAACCGGGGCCGGTCCCCGTTCCGGCATTCCCGCCGCCGCAAGTGTTCCAAGCGTGTTGTGAGCCGTGCTACCATGGTCATGGTTGGGGAGCACCACCGCCGCCATGCTACGAGACGTTCGGTAGGCCGGTGTTTGACAGCTGGGGCGGCGGCGGCGGCGCGTACAGGCCGTGTTATAACGTCAACAGATGTGATTATTTTTGTGAAGAGAATTCTCAAGGCTGCACCGTTATGTGAATCAGTGTAATTTCGTCATCGTCATCTTCATCATCATCTCTGGTTCGCAATATCTGGATCTGGGTTCAGTTTTTTTTTTTTTTGAAAAAAATGATCATAATAATAATGAGAATAATATAGAAGTTTATTGGGTACATATATATATAAAATATATATATATATATGTACAGCATGAGAAAAATGGTTAATAAAGTCTGCTGGTGGGAAATTGGTTGTTCATCATTTCGTGTATAATGTTCATTTTTTTTCAAGAGTCTTTATATTTTTAATATAATAAATGCTTATATATATATATATATTATATAGATATCTTTATAATTAATAATAATATATATGTATATACATACACTTTAATTTATATGGTGCATGATCTCTTCTCGATTTCCTATCACTTTCAATTCAAAGCATGATTATATTATGGAATGCTTATGAAGATGTTCCAATAATAATAATTTATTATATTTTTAATATAAGTATATATTATTTTGTAGCGATGTCTTTATATATATATATAATAAAGTTGTAAAAATGTATGTAAACAATCATCATCATCATCATATTGGAATTACAGTGACCAATTGACAAAGATGGAAGAGGCTTATCTCATATAATTAATTAGGTGGTGGGAATCTTAATTAATTACTTGTTTAATTTAGATTAATAGTTAATTAATTAATTGACAAGTGACTTTCCACCAAATTATTCTTTTCATTTTGTCAAAATATAATTAATAATCAACCACTCAAGAAAATATTATTTACACTTACTTTTCTTATATTTTGGAATTTTATATTCATTAGATTAAAAAAAAAAAATTATACTTACCCTTTTCCAATTGGTCAATGGTTAATTTAATTTACCTTTAATTTTTTAAACCAATATAAAAATTTAACTTGAAATTCTTAATTATATATATATATATTTATATATTATAATTTTAAAATCTCTATATTACTAGTTCAATTCTTTCCAAAAATTATAATTAACCTTAATACAAAAATAATAAAAAAATATACTTATTTTTCTGTTTACGGAGAATAATATATTTTTTATTAGAGTTTTAAATAATTTTCATATTCAAAAATTCAAATCTATTTATAATTTAACTCAATGTGAGAGAAAAAATAATAATATATATATTTTTATATATTATTTTTTTAATTAAATATTAATAATTTTTTTTTGTATATTTACTAAGAATTATATATTTTTATAATAATAATTTACTTTTTATAGGTTTACAAAGAGTTATATTTTTTTTATAAATAGTGTTGTGAGTATTTTTAATTTTATACAATAAATTTAATTAAAAGATAATAAATTTTTATTTAATAAATTAAATTCATACTTTGAAAAAATATATAAACAATATACTATTCATTTAATTATTTAGGAATTGCATCAATACATATATATATATATATATATATATATATATATATATATAATATAGGTGCAATTTGTTTCTATCTAGCTTGGTGGCACATCGATTTAAAACTAACTAGTATAAGACCACGTGGGTATGATGTAAGTTGATTTAATTTTTAGTTTCGCCTTCCCGGCTGAAAGAAGAAGAATTTGAAAGCTTTGCATATATACACATACATACACATACACATACACATACACATACACATATATACATATATATATATATATGTATTACGTGTATATATGATTAGAACACGGTTCTTAATTTTGGCATGGCCGCCAACCGAACAAAAGATGAGAAAGAACTCGCTAGGTGTTTATAATAAAAATGGACCACATGCATGATATGATCAAACTATATTCCTACTACATATATATATATATATATATATACATACATACGTGTGGAATAATTCCCCAAAAATTTCATATGTTACTATTATTATTTTAAAAATGAATCTTTAAGAATTATAATTTCTTTTTATTGAATTTTTATATTATATATGATATTTGTTTTTTTTTTATAAAATACATAAAGGGTATTATATATTGTTATATTATATACGGTATAAGAATCCAAAATGTGAAAGGTGTAGTATATAAATCCAAATGTACACGGATATAAACACATTCCAAGTGTCGGTGTTATATCAAACAAAAAGTGGTAGGGCCCCACTTTTTATATAATGATTGATTTGACAAATGAGATAAATTAATGTTAAAAATAATATGCTTTATATTATATATATTATAAATGTTCTATTTAAATATTTAAAATTTAAATTTTATTCAAAATAGTATATCTTATTATTTATAATATTTGATTCATTTAGAATTAAAAAATTAATTATTTAGAACAACGGTGATGAATAACGTATTACAAATTCGAACTTGAAATTGGTACTTGAAAAAAGACAAGAGATCGGACAAAATATGAAGGTGCATTTTATGTGCATATGTAAAGTTTTTATTCTTATACGAGAAAAGATATATAAAGTTAAGCGATAGTAGTGGTGCCTGCATCGCTTATTATACTAAATTATATTAAAAATTAAAGGTAAGTAGATAGTATCGTATAGTAATTCAATACAGGATTTGATAATATTTTGTTCTTTTAAAATTTGGTACCTGGTTAATAGCCAGATGTTTGTCGCTTTTCATACATGTTGAATTTTGAATTTTATTTATTTCATTCGTGGGTAAAATTGTTTCAACATGACATCAATTGTAGTATTAAATTTAGAATTTAAATTCTTAATTATAATAATTGATAATTTATAAAAGTTAGATAACTTATAAGTTGTGAAACTTTTATACGATAGTAGTGAACTACATTGAAAATATACTATTCTAAGTACGAAACTGACGAGAAAAATATAATCAATAGAGAAAAATGAAATATAAGAACTTTTTTTATAATTCTCGAAGAATGTCAACTAGAACTCTTTGTTGAAGAGCTAGATTTCTTAGAACCATCGCTATAGATCAAACTATTGAATTGCTTTTAGAACGATTCAACAAAGCTAATGCAATTGTTATTGTTAACAAAGTTGGGAAGATGACAGATATAGATTTTGCAGGCAAATGAGCCGCTTGGATTGACTACTAGAGTCAAAATCACTCTTGACATCCAGAAGCCTATCCTTCTTGGTAAGTTTCTGGTTAAGCCATAAAAATATAGAAGACCCTTTTCATTTCAGCCAAGCAGAAGACAAAGGGGCCACCAGGGTTCCATGAAAGCTTACCTGCTAAGTTCACTTACCTGTTAATTTTAGAAACTGCAAGCACTAACTCACTGACTAAGGAGACGATCGAAGTGCAACCCACAAGAATTTCATTGAAAAGAAGAGCAAGAATGATCAAAGCAGAGAGAAAGCACAAAGAGCCAGGTAATTTTCACTCACTCAATGATCCAAAAGTGGTCTTGGAGGTAGCCTCAATGACTCCTAAGGTGCCATGAATCTGTTATCCACAAACTACAGGAGATTGAGCCAGTCCTCTGCAGTATTAGGCCTAAAGGTTCTTGTAAATGAAAGGAGTATATCAGATAGTAAACAAGACTCCATGACTAAGCTGTTTAGAAAAGCTGTTGATATGATGGGGCTTGGAGATTTGGGCTGCACTGAGATACCATTTACATGAAGCAACAAATAAGCAAGGTTAGTGAAGAGGAAGGCAAGACTTGACAGAGGATTAGCAACAAGTAATTGGATCGAGTTACTTCCAAACTGCCAAATCTAACATCTTCAAGAAGTATTTACTGACAATTCTCCCCTCCTTAACTTGTTAAAAGAAAAGAGAAGATAGAAGAAGCTGATCAGATTTGAAGAAACTTAAAATACTTGATGCATCCAAGATTGTTTCCAGGTAGAACCCACACCAGTGTGTGTATCAGCATTGTGTTTATTTACATTTTACTGCAATTAAAAAAAGCATTTCATACACTAGTTTGGCTTATAAAAAGTAGAAATCAACAACAATTTTTGGTTTTATATGCCTCAAAATGATGATACAGACTATATAAAATGATTATAATCATAGATCGCTAAATGATAAACTGCAACTAGATTTTCTAAACTGCAACTAGATTTTCCTTGATTTTGAAACAAGCAATTAAGTCGACTTCCCCATAAAAAGAGGGGAAAAAAAAGCTGAAACCCAAGGGAAACATCCAGATCAAACCCAGAAAAAATTGTCCTAAACTAGGCTATAAACATTTTAAGTCAATTTCGGATGGCAAGGGAAGTTTTTGATCATAAACATGATGGAAATGATAGGGTACTATGATAAATTATAACATTAGAGTATCGCATTTCTAATAGTTTTTGAGAATTTACTCATTTGTGCTTTCCAGGAATTCTCAAATTTAACCAGAGTTGGGAGCTAGAATTTTCTGTTTTTCTCTGCAACTAATCTTGATACCAGTATGTGCACTCTTAATTATTGGAGTAGAAAAAGATGAAATTATGTAAATGGCTCTCGACCCATGTTAGAGATCAACTCTATCTCATCTTGCAGCTCCTTGACAGTAGGTTCCGGAGTGAAGATTCTCGGTTGCCAAACAGTCTGTCCACAAAAAACTGATTCTTACTTGCTTTAAGTCGAGAGTCAAGGCTACTATAGTAATTTAAAAATTCAGACTTTTTGGAGGAAAAGTTTGAGACTTTTTTCGTATTTAGATATTTTGAGTCCCCTATTATATATATATGTATAATTTTGTCAGTTTCTTATGCTCTCTTGATAAGGTGTCACCTTTTTCTCTGTTTACTGCATATACTCCGCTTAAGAAGATAACAATGGCGTACAACCTCTGTTCTTCATCTTCTTCTCTCTTCATCGACCCCCAGCCTCTTTGCAACTCACTCTATTCTTCACCAAAACTAAGACCAAGAAGCTTTGTATACTCTTTCAACTCGAATCTCTGTACATTTCGATCAAAACTCCCTCTCCAAATCAACCATGTCTCATTACAAGACTCAGTTCCACTACAAACCCGGAACACAAACACAAAAAAAGTGTCAAATTCCCAAGACCCAGATGGGAATTCTGGCTCTTCATCGAAAAGCTACATATGGGTCAACCCTAACAGCGCTAGAGCTTCTCAGCTTCGACATAAATCATACGATTCAAGGTATAATTCTCTTGTAAAATTAGCTGAGTCTTTGGATTCGTGTAACCCTCTCGAAAATGACGTTTTTGGTGTTTTGAATGGATTTTCTGGTAAACTTTTCGAGCAAGATGCTGTTGTCATTCTCAATAATATGTTAAACCCAGAAACTGCATTGCTTGCCCTTAAGTACTTTCAACAGAACTTGAAACCAAGTAGGGAGGTGATTCTGTACAATGTGACGTTGAAAGTGTTTAGAAAATGTAAAGATTTGGATGGAGCAGAGAAGCTGGTTGAAAAAATGCTTGAGAGAGGGGTTAAGCCAGATAACGTCACGTTTTCAACTATAATTAGTTGTGCTAGGATGTCATCTTCTCCAATTAAGGCTGTGGAGTGGCTTGAGAAGATGCCGAGCTTTGGGTGTGAACCTGATGATGTTACGTACTCCGCCATGATTGATGCCTATGGGCGTGCAGGTGATGTGGATAAGGCTTTGAGCTTGTATGACCGTGCAAGAACAGAGAAGTGGCGTATTGATCCAGTGACGTTTTCCACGTTAATTAGGATTTATGGGGTATCTGGAAATTTTGATGGGTGTTTGAACATTTATGAAGAGATGAAGGCTCTTGGTGCTAAGCCAAATCTAGTTACATATAATACATTGTTGGATGCTATGGGAAGAGCCAAGAGGCCTTGGCAGGCTAAGTTAATTTACAAAGATTTGATTGACAACGGCTTTACTCCAAATTGGATAACCTACGCAGCTCTCTTAAGGGCCTATGGCAGAGCTCGCTATGGCGAAGATGCTCTTAATATCTATAGGGTAATGAAGGAGAAGGGAATGGAGTTGAATGTGATTCTTTACAATACTCTATTAGCCATGTGTGCTGACATCGGTTACACTGACGAGGCTGTTGAAATTTTTGAGGATATGAAGACTTCTGGGACTGAACCCGATAGTTGGACCTTTTCTTCCTTGGTTACCATATATTCTTGCAGTGGCCAAGTTTCAGAGGCAGAGGCTGTATTGAACGAGATGTTGGGAAGCATGGTTTGAGGCTAATATTTTCGTTTTAACATCACTTATTCAATGCTATGGGAAAAGCCCAGCGAATAGATGATATTGTTAGGTCATTTAATCACGTTTTAGAGCTTGGCATCACTCCAGATGATCGCTTCTGCGGTTGCCTTCTGAATGTGATGACCCAGACGCCAAAAGGAAGAGCTTGATAAATTGAGTGACTGCATTGAGAAGGTCAATTCAAAGCTTGGCTTAGTGGTGAAGCTTTTGGTGCAGAAGAATAATAGTGAAGAGGTCTTTAAGAAGGAAGCATCTGAACTTTTTGATTCAATCAGTCCAGATGTGAGAAAGGCTTACTGCAATTGCTTGATAGATCTTTGTGTCAACCTCAATTTGTTGGAGAGAGCCTGTGAGCTGCTGGATCTGGGGCTTACACGTGAGATCTACACTGGTATACAGTCTAGGTCTCCAACCCAATGGTCTCTACATCTTAAATCTCTATCTCTTGGGGCTGCATTGACTGCATTACATGTTTGGATAAGTGACTTGTCCAAGGCCCTTGAATCTGGGGAGGAGCTTCCTCCGTTGCTTGGGATCAATACTGGACATGGGAAACACAAGTATTCAGACAAAGGCCTAGCCATGGTCTTTGAGTCACATCTGAAGGAACTAAATGCCCCTTTCCACGAGGCTCCAGAAAAGGTTGGCTGGTTTTTGACAACAAATATTGCAGCCACGTCATGGTTGGAATCTAGGAGTTCACTGGACCTGGCTGCTTCGTAAGTGCCGTGCTTATAAAGGTTCTGGTATGTAATGTTTGGAATTACCAGCTTCTGTTGTGCTTTCATGCTTACTTTCATTCGTTTGATAGAGGAAAATTTTTGAATCATTAATCCATTCTTATTATACTTGGTTACTAAGTTAATGGAATTAGGAAAAATTTTTGAGTCTTATGGAATGACTTTGCCAACCACTTGCTATACTCGAATCCCTGAGTGTCTTTATGAATTGGTCCATATTGGTGCATAAGATTGAATTATATCCTCATTCACAGATTGGCAAGATGGTAGTACATATTTACAGACATATAATTATTCATATGTGTATGATCTGTCCATGTATGTTAGCCTCATTTATGTATATATGTATGCAATTATATTAAAAATATACATGGAAGGATAGGAAAATGAATGCAATATGTTTGACTTCTTTGGGGCCCTAAAATGGCTGTTAGGAAATTTTTTTAAGAGGAAGTTGACCTCCATTGCGAGCCTTTTTTTAGAGGAAATTTTTTTAGAGGGCTTAATACAATGAACACTTCACAGACCTTTTGACTTCTTGTATTTAATAACATATTTTCTAAGAGGGATCCCGCCCTTGACTTGCATATAATAATAGAGCTCATAAAAAAATAATTAAACTAATCACTTCTATTAGAAAGTAAAATACTAATTAAGACACCCTGTGATGGCCTGCACGTCAAAATTGTCTACAACGTTTGGTCAGTTCAAAGCATGAGTATAAATTGATTGGTCCAAATTGATGTTTTTCTGTGGACAAACATGGGAAACTGCATACACATACCCTTTTCTCCATCTCAGGGAGAAGTTAGGGTTCTGATCTTCAATGGAGGAGAAAAGAAATTCAGAGCCTCAACACCCATCAAGAAGATAGCTTCTGGTCCTTACAGTGGCTATAAGTTGGTGCACCCTGCTCAGCCAAATTCACCATTGCCACATAGTGCTAAGCTTATACCTGGTGAGGTTTACTATCTTCTTCCACACCAGAAACAGTTCGATAGCGGTTTGATTGTTCCTAAAATGTCTGGTAAGAAGACATCAAGAAGGCAGTTTGTGAAAATAGTATTGACAAGGGAGCAGCTGGAGTTGCTGTTGGGAAATGTTAAGGAGTTTCAGTCAAAAAATGTTTACTTCCGATTCTCTGAGAATTTTAGTGAGAATCAGAAATTGAAACCATCTTTGGCCGTGATTCCAGAAGTAGAAAACTTCTGAATGGTAGGACTAGTGATTGCATATTTTCGCTGCAGTTGCATTGCAAGTCTAATAGAGAGTAGCTGCCACAGCGAAATCAGAGAGGTGTTTCTGTTATATTTCTATTGGGAATACCACCATTGCTTCTTGCAACTTAGATAAAATTTCAAGCTCGAATATGTCATTATTATAACTCTTTCTGGAGTTATTCCTTTGGTTACTTTAGGCAAGTTGGGGAATTTAGTATCTGTATATTTTAGTTGGCCAATTGGCTAAAACAAAGCAAAAAGAAAGAAAAAGAAGAAACAGGGACAACATATGTAAGCAAAACAAAAGTGTTTTGAGTTTTATGAAACCCATGCTGCAATTGACCCCAAAACATGCTAGCTATCAGGCTTAGTTTTAGACTTTATATTCCTTGGGCTATTCTAATATCATTTGCAATACTTTAGCATTAAATACCACTAATCCAATAACTTGTGGATCTAAACTAATGGACCTAAAAATTTATGCACAAATTCTTAATATTTGATAATCTCAACTCTTATATAAATTTTGAGTAATTCATATATTCTTTCACACTATCATACAAAGTTAAAGAGTTATCAACCATTCTTTTACTAAAAAGGTTGATATTTCTCTCCTGTTGAGGTGTGGATTCGAGTCATGTTGTAAGTTTCATATATCATCATTAGGAGATTGTATCATGATTGATGTACATGTATTATTTTTTTAATGAAATATATGAAATTTTGCTAAAAAAAATAGTCATTTTTTCTTTTTCGGATTGGATTGTCAAATTGACAACACAGAGAAAAAAATGGTTCAAGAACACTCTACCTAACACCTTTAGATAAAGAATATGCAAACTGGGTTCCGAGTACTCTGCACACTGTTGAGGCACAACCTCTCTGCACAACTTTTTATAAATTCCAACACTAATATTCACAAACACTAGTATTCATAATTTGAATTGAATTGACTATTATGATTTTAGATACAAATCACAAAACATATTCAAATGTGTCAGACAGTCCAAACATCACCCTAGAGCAACTCAGTTTCTTTTGCATAAGAACTTTATTGATTATCTACTACCAGAGAAACAAGTCATATTTACAAGGGAAAAAAAATCCGAAGACAGATACACAATCAACTGAAATCCATTTTTTAAAAAGTAATCAACTGAAGTTCACGACCTCATCAACTCCATCCGACTGAGGAATCTTCAAGATGATTTCTGTGCAATGCTGCAAAACATGGCATTCAAAAGGTTTAAAAATATCCAATCCGATACAGAGGGAAGAATCATTAGATTAGTAATGATAGAATGAAGACATGGGAGAAAGAATGAAGTTTCAGTATAAAACAAAGTTGGAGAAAACTTTTTCAGGGGATTTTCCCTAACCTTTTGGAGCTTGTATCTTTGGTCCTTTGGTGGTTGTTCACTTTAGTTGGTCCAGCTTCCTTTTCTCTTGATGTTGCTTCTCTCTTCATCCTTTTAGACTCTATTTCAATAGCTTTTGTTAGTGCATCCACCTTCTTCATGAGCATCTGTAAAAAGTTTTATCTTAGGCCTTCGACACCTCTTGCATTCAATACAACAAGAGAATAATAGGACTAACATTAGCTAGCAGCTTAACGCCTTACCTTGATTTCTTCATCTTTGGCACTCAAATTACTTTCTTTAACCTCACAAGCCTTCCTTAGATTGACGACTTCTTTTTGAAGTCTATCATACAGAAACCCTGAGACAACATCTTCTGAATTGGGACTGATATTTCCCCTATTCTGCAACCCGTCATTGGCGTTACTTCTATTTTTGATTTCTGCTGAGACTGCCAGATCTGCATCACCATCCTTGCAAACATTGGCATCTGTGTTTGTCTTCAATTCTGTGTTCTCCTTTCCACTGCTATCAACAACTTTATTTCTGGATACCCACATGTTTTTTCTCATTGGCATATTTTCCCCAGCATATTTCTTCTTGAGGCCTAAATCTCCAGCATCATTAGCTGTTTCATTTTCCATCTTTGGCGGCTGCAAAGGGGAGCCTCTTCTGATGCTTGAAGCCCTTGGCTGAGAAGTAGACCTCTTCCTCGGTCCAGTTGGGCTTGTGAAGAACCCTAAAATATTACTAGATTTTTCTCTTTTAGGGGAACAACTAACCGAATTAGGATCAATAGAGAAACTTGATAAATGTTTTAAGCCTTCTTCCAATGTCTTCAGCCGCAACTTCAGTTTATCCTGAGGCATATCTTGTATTAGCAAAGAAAACCGGTCTAGTCAAATAAAATTAAGGGCACAGATATGGTTAGAAGACAGCTTTCTACCTTCAGTTGGGCTTCTGCCTTAGCTGTTCTCTCTGATATTGCTAGCTTGTGTTTCAACCGTTGCATCTCTGACTACACCATCCAGAAAGACGAAGTTCAATTTGTATCTTCAACATTATGATTTGTGAACTATGTACAAACACTTATTAGGTGAAAGTTTCCTAAAGGTCTAGTAGTTATGATTGAAAAATAAAACTCAATCTGCATCTCTTTGCCTAGTCATGAAAGAAATACCTGAAGCAGCCTTCTCTCTTCCAGCCATTGTTTGACTGGCATTACTTTGTCATTTTCATCCTTCCACTCATTAGCCACAACGGTTGCTACTCGGTTTGCTGAAACTTTAACTCTGGCTAGCTCTCTCTCTAAGGTCCTCTTTTCATCCTAAAAAATTTGAAAGCTAATTAGCGGTCATAACCTGAAAGTCATAATCATTGGACCGTTGCCTACAAGCATATACCACCTACATTTAGTTCAGAAATCTGTCGCCTGTAATCACGAATGGCATTTGCTGCAACCCCGCCAGCCAAAATAGCCTCTTCAAGTTCTTGAATGGTTTCACTGAGCTTTTCAACCTCTAAGACCTTCTGGCGATTAGTTTTTTCAAGAATCCTATTCTCCTCCTGCATATGGAACATTAATTCTGCCATGTTACTTAATCCCTCTATCAATAAAGTACAATGTAAAGTACAGAAAGGAGTCTGATTGGAACTCTTGCCTGAGATATCTCGATCTGTCTCTTCAGCTCAAAGTTCTGATTCTGAACCTCCTCAACTATCAGAGCTCTCTCCAAAGCGCTTCGCAATATTCTTTCAGCTTCAAGAAGAGCTAATTCTTTTGACTTAGTGAGACGTTCCAATGCCTTTTTGTCCTCTTGAAGCACTGCAATCTGAGAATATCGAAAAAGGATTGAAGTACTAAAAAAATGAATCATCTTCTCATGCTGCATAGTTGTTTCCAAGTGCAGTTTTCTTTTTGCATAAGTACCTCATTTCTATACATTTTAATGTCTGCTTCTAGAGGAGCAATCAAAGAGTCAATAGGCACTGGATCATCATCCCTTTGGTTCGCATGCACCCTTCTAAGAGTTGCCTCTGCAGCATACTGTGCAGCCAATGCATCTTTTTTCTCATTGTTTAGTCTCTTGATTTCAAGATTCTTCGTTTAGTTACACACCAAAGAAATAAATTGTACTTCAGTCCTACTAAGGCATGCATGAATGAAATTTAGGATAAGAAATCACAAAGATAATAAACAAACCTTTTGCTCAAGAAGATTTTCTACAAGTCTATGTTTCTCATCCAACTTATTAACTTCATTTCTAAGCTGGAAAACGGAAATAGAAAATTTCAAACACAGTTACATCAGATTAAAAAATTCATTGAAATTTCCATCTGTTATAAGATACTACAATTCCATATATGATTCAACTTATCAAATTCTTGTTACCTCTTCTACAGCCTTGTCCTTCAGCACTTCTCTGGCCTTTAAAGCCTTGATTTCAGCCTGAGAAGCTGATAGCTCCCTGTCTTTTTCTGTAAACGTATAAAAAAGCTAAGTAAAACATAGTTTGACCCACCAAGGGAATTCATCATTATTTTATTTTGTAAAAGCACAAAAAAAAATATAAGGTCAAAAAGACTTCTATTATCAAACTCCATTGACATGAATGCATTGACCATATAAATTACCAAGGGTTATCATATAGTGGGAAGCTGAAAATACTTCCCACCATACTTATCATAACCATGAATTGGAAAAAGCTATCACTATACCAAGCATCAAACCGTGTAATGATCATAATGAGAAGGACAAAGAATTTTAAGAGAAAAATCAAACTACAAACATCGTTATTATACATATAATCAAACTACACAGTACTATTTGTGCTCAATAAGTTACGAAAACACAAAGAAGTAGCAATAAGTCGGAACTCAATACAGCTAAATATTATATATAGCTCCACCTTTTTTAGCACTGAAAAACCAGGCAGAAGAAAGACAGAACATGACAACAGACCCTATTAACTTCCCAGACAGAGACACACAGAGACACACACCATTTACTTGTGTTTATGTCTCAGAGAAAAAAGAAAGAAAGGAAGAGAAGGAAACCTTTGAGTTGGTTCTGCAACCGATTGAACTCCAAGACAAGAGGATCCGGATGAACAAGAGAAAGCTCTTCTGCTCTAAATGCAAAATCCTCATAACCCACCATCTCTCTTCTCTCCTTCGTCTCTCTCAACACTCAAACAGCGTAGAAGGAGAAGAAAAACATGCAAAACTCAGAACTATAACAAGAACTATGAAATGGGTTTTAGGGCAGAGGATAGATATAAAGAGGGTTTTTGGTGATAACAGAAAAAGTCCCTTCCTTTAAGGAATTGACCGTAAAGAGAGGAATGGTCTTGCCATACTCTTAAGCAAAATTTGAAAGCTAAGTACTCATCACAAGCCGGCCAAGCCGGCTCCTTTACCTCCCTTTCATATATATTTGACAGTAACCGTTACTTTATGACCATGATAACATTTTTTTTTTCAAAATTTATTTCTTTTTTTTTTTTTTAATAAAAGAAAAACAAAAACAGAAAACCCAAAAAGATTATATCTTTAGAAACTTCACTTCTTGTTTGATGCCATCCTTTCCACATTACCACCTAACCTGTATACATGTATGAGAATATACATAATTGTATGTATATGTACAGGAAGAAAAATTGTATTAGTTGGTGCCATTGTTGTTGCAAGCTTAGCTTAAAGCTTAAAGCTTTTATTATATAATTATAAAAAAATATTTGACAGATTAAAAGCCCAAAAACTGACAAATAATGGAAAGAGAAGTGGGAATAATTAGTTGATTCTATCCATTTGATTAACTTGCAATCATTGTCGTTTAGTTGATGATTATGATAGAAAGTAGGTTTGAATTGATTTTAATTACAAATTCTAAATGATTAACTTGTTAGACAAATAAAGCAAAAAAATTTAATCTTTTTTTTTTTCCATTATTGGCTTTATCAAATTGAGATCGAAAAATATTTGAATTCTCTAATTCTTAGATGAAAAAGAATGTACTTCTAATCCTATCGAACGAGTTTTCTCACTAAAATAATAATAAAATTTAGAAATAAGAAAATATTATATTTTTCTCGTCCTTTATTTTCTATCGTTTACCCAATATACCCTAATGTTAGATAAATAATCTTCTATATAATTGTTTATCAAACCTCTCATTTTGTGCATATTATTGTATAATTATTAATTTTTTTTGTGGGTTTTTTTCCAATTAATTATATATTTAGGATTTGTGTGTAAATGTAAGAAACATATTATTAGGGTTAGTTTCTTTGCAATCATAATTACCAAAACCCAAGATTGAAGATGAGTTTTTAAAACTTTGTCATGATTCTCCTATCACCTCTATTGATGGAAAGCTCTTGTTTTGGCATAATCCGATTGCTTCAGCGCAAAACCTTGCTTAAACCATGCCATTTTTGTTTCTTTCTTCAAATTCTTGGATTGAATCAAAGAAAAAATATGAAGTGTTGGATGATCATAAACTCAAAAAGATAAAACAATATATAAAGTGGGTTAAAAGAAAACAAACATAATTAAATTCATAAACATATTAATAATAGATTCTCGTGTGTGTGTGTGTATATATATACACAAAAACATATGTTACGAGAGTAAATAATCGATTAATATAGTAGTAAATTACCCACAACATTATAACAACACTATAACATGATAGTTAAAATTTTTATATTTTATTTGAATGTTACAAATTTAAATCTTAATAAAGATACAGAATTCGTCGTAGTCAATATATAAATACTTGATTCAGTGAAACTAAATACTTAAATTATTAATTTGTTGGTGAGACTACAATGATGATTTAAAATTAAGTTTCAACGAGTTTATTAAATTTATAAACGAAAGAAATATTGTGTGATAATTAAATTTTTTTAACCACGATAAATTAAAAATTCAATCTAATTTTTTACACACACATATATATATATATATATGTATATATTTAAAAGAGAATACCAAAATTATAAATGAATATGCTAGAATATTAATAATTAATTAAATTACCTAAATTTTTATAATATTCAATTGAATTAATTATTCAATAATATATATCTATCCAATTTTTTTTTTTTTTGTTTAATTGGTCTTTATATTGTTGATACAAAATGCTTATATAAAAATTAAGTTTTCCCCAATTCAATCAAATAAATCATTCGTACCATGACTAAAAAAAATTTGAATTGTAAAATTGACCTATATGGATTAATACATTATAATTAATTATAGATTACAATATAATAATCCCAAAATTTTTTTAGTTGATAGAAAATTACATTCATAACTAATAATTTCTTAATCAATTAATTTCGGTATAAGTATTTTGCTTACAAGTATTATACGCCCCTCGACTTTGCTTACAAGTAAATTATATGATTAGAGGAAAGAAAATTAATTAATGAAATTAAGTCGGCTCTTCCTCTCTAACTTGGCAATTTGGCAAATTTTAAGACAAAGTTACATAGTTCTTTTGGGCAAACGACAAAAGGGAAGATTTCATATATGTGTATATATATATATATGTACCTACCGACACCCAAAACTTATATGTATATTTATAGCCGTAAAATATATAGGACCAAAGTTTATATTCAAAAGGGTGTTGATTGAGATGGGTTTCTTTTGTAATTAAGAATCATTCATGAACTTAATTAAAACAAAAACAAAAAAAAAAAAAGGAAAAACCCATTAAAGAAATTATGATTTTCAAAGTAGTGATATGAATTTAGGTGGGATCAAGCTAAAGCTTTGAAAAGGAGTTCTTCTTTATTTGACTTTGGAGTAGGTAAATTGGATAATTATGAACTCTATAATTTTAGCTTCAACCTTAATATTTCTATCTAGTAGTATCTCAAATGGGTCCTAGCTTTAATTAATCAATACTTAATTAATTAGTTAATTATATTCATTATATACATATAGCACACACACAAAAAAAAAATAATAATAAAATTAGTGGGTTCACAAAATTTTGATACTAAATTTCATTTAGAGTTTATGGGTGTTACATTGAAGTGGTGATTATTTTAAAGAATTCAAATAACCCATCATAATTTTGAAGTAATTAGAAAAAAAATTCTTTTGGAGTTAATTTCCATTATAAATATATATATATATATATGTATGTACATATGCAATGAGGATGGTATGTATGTAATAAGAGTAAGGTCTCAATTTTAAGTTGTACCCAATACTCCAAGACCTAAATTCAAATTGAAAGCCCATCTACTAGTTTGGGTACCCCCAAAATTATATATCAAGCCCAAATATATTAAGAGCTTAAACTCACAATATTAATCATTAATAATGATGTTCAAATATATGAATTATGATCTTGAAAAAAAAGAATGTCGCAATAATTTTGATTACTCAACGATTGAATATTTTTATTATTCTCTATAAAAATATAAAATTTAAGTTGCGTTATGTATTATTATTGTCGAATAATTTTTTTTTATAAAAAATTCTTAAACGTACTAAACTGATACGAAAAAATATGTATTGAAGATTGTTTTCGAAAAAAATCTAGTTTGATTACTTAAAACTTATTTTAACGCTAAAAAACTAAAATTTATGTGTAATTTTTTTTTTTTGAAAATTTCTCTATAACATTAATCAAAATCATGGAAACCCACATTGAAAAGAAACATAAATAAATCAATAGCAAAAAAAAAAAAAAAAAAAAAGAAAGGAAAGGAATTGAATTAAGCCAAAAAGAAAGAGGAAAAGACAAATTCTTTTTTCTTTTCTTGTTTGATAACCTAATTTCTTCATGAACCTCATGAGCACAAAGAAGAAGGTATGCCTTTCCTACTCCTCTAATCTTAATCCCCTTGGAAAAAGCAGTCACATGAAAACCCACAAAGCAGCCGACCAATGACCAATCTCACAAATGGACAAAGCATCTATGCCTAACCATATTCTTTTGCTCATCCTAAAATTACTAATTTAGGGTTTTTTTTTTTTTTTATTTATGAAGAAAAAATTTAAAGAGGGTATTAATTCATTTTAACTAATCAAATTAAAGAATTTAAGACATGGGTAATGTTCATTTTACCGGAATAGTAAAGATTTAAGAAGAAAAAACAAAGTGAAAAGCAAGTATATTATGGTGGAAAATTTGTGAAGGATATATATGGCAGTGAAGGCATATATATATATATATATAGGAGGGTATATATGTAATTACATAAAACAATACAAAGACCAGGTGGCGGATTGTAAGGAAAACAAGAAGAATCTCCCACAGAAAAATAAAAGTAATAATAAGAAACAGAGAATGACAAAGAAAGACTTCAAACCAAGAACTGAAAAAGCAAATCTCTGTTTCTCAAGCCTCTGAATCTTGTAAAAAATTTTCTGAGAGC